TCTGTGGCATTTCTTCTCATTCTCTTGACAGTCTTTCACAGAGAAGTTTTTAATTCTTTCTTCTACAGATCATGTCTTTGGTGGTGTATTTTTAAAAAGCATTACTATTGCTGACGTTTCGCTAAGTTTTCTCTTATGTAATCTTCCAGGAGTTTTATAGTTTTGCGTTTTACATTTAAATATGTGATCCACTTTGAGTTCATTTTGGTGAAAGGTGTAGTAAAATCTGTGACTAGTTCTTTTTTGTTTATTTTTCTGCACGTGTATGTCTAGGTGTTCCAGCACGATTTGTTGAAAATGCTATCTTTGGTCCACTGTCCTGCCTTCACTCATTTGTCAAAGGTCAGTAGACTATAGATGAGTGTATTTCTGGGTTCTCCATTGTGTTCCACCAATCTGTTTATACTCTTGCCCATACCACATTGTTTTGATTGCTGTAGCTTTATAGCACGTCTCAGAGTTTGGTAGCATTAGTCCTTCAACCTTGTTCTTCTTCAATATTGTTAGCTATTCTGGGTATTCTGCCTCTCCATATAAACTTTAGGATCAGCTTATAAAGATATCTATAAAGTAACTTGCTGGAATTTGATTGGGACTGCACTGAATCTATAGATTATGTTGGAAAGAATTGATATTCTGACAATATTGAATCTCCTATCCATGAAAATGGAATGTTTCCCATTTACTTAGTTCTTCTTTGATTTTGTTCATCAGAGTTTTGTAGTTTTCCTCACGCAGACGTTGTCCTTTTTTTAGATTTATGCCTAAGCATTTCAGTTTTTTTAGATACTAATGTAAATCGTATTTTTTAAAATTTCCAATTCCACTTGTTCATTGCTGGTATATTGGAGCTGATTTCATTTTGATAGGATGGTGAGATGGCTTTACTGTGATATGTAGGCTGAAATGAGATCTGAATGTTATGTAGAAGTTAACTAGTAGCCTTTTGGAAGAATGGGACATGGTGAGTACAGGAGAGTGAGTGAGTACCAGAGTGCAGAGAGTAAGGGAATTTATAGTGATGTGCCTACAGTAGTAGGTAGAGGGAACTACATTCAGGTCCTTAAGAAGTTTTGTTTTTATATTATATTATCATACTTCTATTTTGAAAAGATCAAGATAGCTCTTGAATGGAGAATGTACTACAAGAGAATCAAAAATGAGGGCTAAATGCCCTAAAATGGATCAGAGAGTTATTAAGAGGTAAACTCCAGATATTGCAAAGTGCAGCTTGAAAAAGGAATTGAGTGCAGTTAAGTCCCACAGCTTAAGCAACTAACTCTACAAATCGTCCTATCATTTAATGAGATACAAAACACTAGAGGAAGCTCAGCCTGGGGCACTGTCAGTTTAAGGTTCCACTAAGACTTTTAAGAAACAGGTTAAGTATCTAAATGTGTAATTCTGGAGGTCAGGGAAGCAATCTGAACTATAAATGTTAGACAATGGTATATAAATTGTAACTGAGGTCCTCGGAGTGGATGAAGGTAAGAACATGGCAAAAAGAGAAAATGTTCTTAAGGACTCCAAGACTTAATGACAGAAAGCAAGAGCCTTACTTTCTTTTACACCCTCTAGCCATTGAATTGTTCCTCCTTTCAAATACTAATCCCTCTCCTGTGCTCCAGATTCCATTCCTTTGACCTCATTCAGGTCCTTTAATCAATTGTCTAGAGTTGTTTTACAGCACCTTTATTTTCTGTCTGTCTCATACAACCAAACTTTTCCCTTGAATTTTTGTCATCTCCAGCTATCCTACCCTGCCCCCCCTCCAACTCCACAGCAAAGTTTTCTAAATTTTTAAATGGTCTACTTTTATGGAATATTCAACTTCACTTGCTATACAATTCTAAATACAATAATTTGACTTTTCAGTTTAATAAAGCCAAAATAAACCATTATTACTAAATCAAAGAATCACTTTGCAATTCTTATTTTATTTTCTGTTCCTCTCCCCAGTTTTTAAATGTTTATGTTCCCTAAAGTTTATTCTCAGTTCTTTTTTCTTCTCATTCTAAAGTATACATTTTCTTGGTGAGTTTACCCATTCCCTGGGGCAAACTTCACCACAGGCTAATTAATTTCAAATCTATGTTTACTCCAGAGATCCCTCTTTCACATAGCCCATTGTGTACTGGATATTTCCACTTAGACCTCCATGGGTTCCTTCAATTACACACATTTAAAATACTCATTTTATGATCGCCCTTTCCCTAAACAACCAACATAACTACAAAATCCTGCTCTTCTTCCTTTATTCTTTTATCGTCTGCCACCCATAAAGCTGTTCAAGGCAGAAACCTGTTCATCATCTTTGATTCCTCCTGTCAACCTTCCTTGATCATATAATTCTACCCCGTATAGTAAAACCTCTGAATTCATTTCATTCTCTTTATCCCAGCCACACTTTTAGACAATCCATTTTCTTCCAGCATATGGTTAGCCAAAACATAATGATCAAATATGATCATTGTAATTCCTTTACTAAAAATGTTTCAGTGATTTCCCATTTCCTATTATCCCTAAAGGAAAAAAATCCACAACCTTAAGAAAGTCAATTAGACCTTCTCTAGTCTCCCCTTCTCTTAGGACTATGTATAAATCATGAGAACTACTTGCACAGAAGCAATGAGAGCAGGTTTCCTGAAGGAGCAGTCTTCCCATCCTCTGTAATGGTTTCCATTCTCTGTAATGCTTCTATCACCTGCACATCCTTGGAACTCAGGTTAAGCTTCCTCCTCAGGGGAAACTTTCCAAGGCTCCCCCCAGTCCAAGTTAGGTATCCTACATTTGTCCTCCACAGTACTTATATGGTGTACTTGATTATTCTGCTTACCCACCTATCTCCCCAACTGTGCACGCAAGGAAGGCAGACTAAGTATTCTTTCTCCTATAACCTGAGCACTTAGCACATCCCCTGAGGATTAACTAATTGTTATTAATCATTAACACCACACCTAAACATACACCTTTTTAACTCTTCCTTTCTAAAAATACTTCATTTATTCCATTGCCTTATATTTAACTCTACATACTGGTAAATTCAAGTATTTGGGATTACTTGCTTTGAGAGCAAAGGTTTTGTCTTTGTAAAAAACAAAACAAAATTAAGATAGATTAAATTAATTTATTCTTTGATAATGTTATACCATACCAAAGATATACCTTAATTTCAGGAATTCCTTGGTATGCATATATGTCATGCTTCCCAAATTAAAGATGAAGTTGAAAAACAATTCTTCAGTTCTATTAATAAGGCAAACAAAGCAACACACCATGACCTTTAGAAAACTAAAGGGTAAAGTAAATACAATAGGAGACAAGGAAATACAAAGTAAAAACAACCTATACAAATTCAGTGCTTAACAGCAACAAAAATACCCAAGATGTTTCTATTTGATATCGAACTGCTTTGTCAGTTTTTGTTTCGCTCTTTTTAGTACTTACTCACTACAAGATAAAATTAGTACATATTGTTCAATGTGTTTAAGTGCTATTGTTTTCTAATATGTTAATTTTATCTCCCCAAATTAGAAATTTTTACTTCTGTAGGTCTAAAATAACAAGAGTAGGTCTAAACAGACGGTAAGCACTCAACAGCTATTTACTGCATGATTTAGATTTATGCTGGCAAAAGATTCAAAATGAAAATATCTAAACCTCATCAAGCTTTCCAGTTGATACAAATAGCATGAGTTTGTTTTTGTTTTGTTTTTTGCTGAACATTTTTTAACAAAACAAATAAAATATCCATAAAAACAAAAGACCTCCCCAAATGAAAAACTCCAGTCACTATTTAGCAATACTAACTTTGATTTATCAAACAGAATCTGCCAAAGAGTTTTAATGGGTCACCGAGATTTAAAACCATTCAATGGCAAGAATTGCAATGAGGTTTGGATGTATTTTAAAAGTATCATACATCACTGTCAAAACCAGTCATAACTTTGTAGTACAGGCATGATTTGGGAGTCTTTTTTACTTTAAACTTGTCAATCATTAATGCTTTCAAAAAATCACTTATCCACCACACGCGCGCGCGCGCACGCTGTTTTAAGAAAAATTTTAAATCCAAAGACGCAGCTCTAAATTACATTTTTTCCCCCCACACATAAAATTTCTATTCTAATAAGAAAGCTCTCATTTCAGAATTCAGGGGGGTTTTGGAAAGAAACCTCAAGTATTTTGTTATTTGAAGGTGCCTTAACAGCAAACGACAATTAAATGTGTGAACAAGGTTGTCAGAGTAACACTACTCATTCACACCACTTATGGAAAGGGTTTCCAAGTCTTACAGAAGCACTAATTAAAGTTAAAGAAAGCTTCTCACGGGGACTTGTCAGAGAAGTACATTTTGTCATTTGCTCTTTGAATCAGAGGAAAACCAAATCTCCCCAAAGCTCAAGAGTTTCACTCTAAGGGCTAAATTCAACCCACCTGCCACTGACAAACTGGGCTCAGATGCTCAGCAAGCAACTCATTAAGGTGGGTGCCGATTCCTTCAATGTAACACAACCATTCCAAAAAAAAAACACAAAAAAGACTTCATGTGGAAGACAGAATGAATATTCAATCAGATATCAGAAGAGAAAGGGGCGGGGAAATGCATCTTTCATCTTCACAGACAAGCCTAGGTGCAACGTCCCATTGGTAGCTGCTGGATATATCGCTCCACCAACCGTTTCTTTAACTCAACGTGAATGAAGACAATCCAAAAGAGAGCGCTGTTGAATATTACCCACCTCTAGCCCCAAAGAACCCCGGAAGGCTCTCACCCAGCACTCGGGTGGCCCTTTCTCACCTGGGTCCCGCAGAAGTTCCCCATCCGCTCCTAGAGCGCACTATTCAGCAATACCCCTTGCGATTGGTTGACTCGAGACGGAAATCTCAGTCCTATTGGTTACAAGAGCTGCAAGGAGGCGGGAGTTTGGGGCTGGTTCTGATTGGCCCGCTGCTTGAGTTCCCATAGTTCCTATTGGGTCTACGCGGGAAACGCCAAGATGGCGGCAGTGGGGGCCGGTGGCACCGGCCGCGGGAGTGCTGGGTCTATGGCGGCGGCGGCGGCGGCGGCCAGGAAGAACAACGTCACGAGTTTCCAGAGGAGGGGTCCCAGAGCCGGCGGTACCGACAGCGGCGGCTCTCGACTGGTGTCCATCGCAGGCACACGACCATCGGTGCGGAACGGACAGCTGCTGGTATCAACCGGGCTCCCAGCCCTGGACCAGCTCTTAGGTCGGTTTCAGAACTGAGATGTAGGCTCAGCAGAGGGAAGACGTAGGGAGGGGACTTGCCGGGGGAGCCACCCTGACCCCACATCTTTCGGTGGCCCCTCCGCTTTCGGACGTGGAGAGGATAGCCTGGTCTGACAGAGATGGAGGGGAGGCGTGGTTGCAGGGAGACTTCACTAGACCTGGTCTGGTGCCCCCCCCGCGCCCCCTTTTACTCTGGTTCCTGCCCACCAGCGTTTTTCTAGGTTACGGCGGGATCCCTGCGTGCTTTTACCTTGTTCAAGGGGAATTATTAATGTGTGGAGACGGTTTGGCCTTCATCTCTCTAGAGTCCCCTCCAGGTCTCTGCTTACTCCAGGTAGCTCATGGTTTGGATTAACCTGCAAAAGTTTGCATCATTGTGAGACATGGGCTTCGTTAGAAAATGCTGGAAAAAGTAGCTTTCCGTCTTTCACGCCAGGCTGCTTATCTCCGGGTTCTGAATTTTTAAACAAAACACACTGGCTTTAAGGGGATGGATTAAAGGTTTATGTGGATCCCAAGTAGTTACAGCCTGTCGTTGACATTGACAGCCATACTCGGATCGGCCTTAAATACACTTATATATGTTTTTGTTAGATTTTTTTTTCTGTATACTTTGCTTCCCATATTTATGTTCCAAACGGTATGTTCCAAGTTAGTTCACATTTTAAGGAGAAAAAGAAGTGCGGTTCTTAGGCTTTCCTATGTAATGTCTGGAATCTTTCAGGACAAGCCTGCTCTGAATGTGCTTGTTTTATAACCGTCACATTGAAAGGATTGACCGGATTAGATTGGTAGGAGTTGCACTGTTAATAAAGATTGTAAACTAGCGAATTCCTATCTGAATGCTGCTTCATTAAAAATGGTCTGTTTGTATTTCATAACTTTTTAATAGTATGTGATATGTGTCAGTTAAATCTTGTACACTTTCATGAAATATTAGAAATGCCGTTGCTTGTTCTTATATTTCTCTTGACATTTTCTCTCTGTAATTCCTCCAACCCCACCCCCCACTGCCCCAAGCCCACCCTGCAAGGTTTAGTGCAAAGGAAGGTGACAAAGCAAGCAACCTGTGAGAAAGAAGATGGTTTCTTCCCCCTGTTATTTCATGTCCTTAACTGGATCCTGGTTATTTCTACATAAATCTAAGTATTTTTACTTAATTGTTTGAGGTCTGTTGCCTTCCTAAATTGCATGGTACTATCAACAAAAATGATTCGGAATATCTAGTTAGCAAATATTTCTCACCTTTTTTTTTTTTTTTTACCCTTGCAACCTTGGGTGTGATCCTATATTTCAAATATAGGATCACACCCAAGTGTGATTATATATATAATATATATATACGGTTATATTTATGTGATTATAGAGAATATATATTAATTCAATGGGAATATGTAATTTCACTAGCTTGATCCTGAAACGCTCCAAACAAAAAGGTCACATTTCTGACTTACACCTTCAGTTCCTCATTAGAAAAATAAAAGGTGCCTAGCACAATGCCTGTCACTTAGTAGATTCTCAGTAAGTTCTTGGTTGAAAAAATAATAATGTAGGAAAAAAATGCCTGGACAAAGAATTTATTAAACATCTAGGCCGAAGCTCTAAATAAGTGACTCAGAGAATAAGTGACATGAACAGAGTGACAAAACCAGTGACAGCCTGGGCTGATCTTTGGGGCTCCAGATTTAGTGCTCTGCAAATGCTACAGCTATTTCAAGTTTTTGAGAACTGTTTTCAAGTGGTTTTAACCATTTATTGGACCTGAAACTAATGATTTAACTGTAGTCCCTTGAAGCACCCATCAAAAGGTAACCCAAAGCAACTTCCTCATGTGTTTCTACAGTGATATAAACTTGAACTGTAATTTCAAAAATTTCCAGGTTTGCTTGGGGGTGAGGACTCTAGTATTTGACTGTAACAAGCTTCTGCTAAATATTAGTGTTCATTAAGGTGATTGAAATAAACATCAGTTTTTGGGTATTTTGAAATATTTTTACTTGTATATAGTTAATTCTTAAAGTGCAAAGAAGTGGAAGTTATAATAGGAGCTACTACATTTGGAATAATAAATATGTGCAGAAGTATTTTAGTTGTTAACCTCTTAATGGCATTTTTGTATTTTGATGTTCTATTTTGTATGGCCCTTTGGAGCAAACCCTTTACATTTGTTTTGCATTAAAACATTATTTGAAAGTGAAACATTTGACTGCTCATGTGTATGTATATATATAGGTATAAGCAATTCAGATTATGTTGTTACTCAAGTGTTATTGGACTGGGATTGTGACAAGCTTAATATGACATATTGATAGGGATGTTATGATATCAGGATGATGAAACTATACTGTGACATTGTGATTGATGCCTAAATATATTCAGTGATTACTGTGTAACAAATACTGTGTTGTTACTGCCATGCAGTGCAGTGACATTTTACACCTGCCACTGTGACATCATTGTAATTTTAAACATAGGTGCAAAGTATACTTAAAAGGCATCATACAGGCTAATCAAATGTTAGTCATTTAATGTTATTTTCATATTTCCATTGCTTACTCCAAAAGCAAAGTGTTTTATAAATTTGAGAATTCCCTATATCTGCATCTTTTAGACATGATCTAATCATATTAAATATCTCTGTCCTAGCAACTTAATTTTATTGTTATATATTGATAAACATTTCCCAAGTAGGCTACATTTAAAATTTTTAGATTCTGAGATTTCCTAATCCGGGTTCTCAACCCTGCCCTTCCAGGAGATGTATGTTGTTATTTGATGACACTATACATAAATATTCCATTTTTCTTTTACAAGTTTTTCTAAAGAGAGATTATAGTGGGTAAAAGATTCTAGCAGGATTTCTTTTATCCTAGCATATAAGGTATAGTCTACTTTAGGACCATATTGTCTAACCTGTGGTAATTATTCCCCAGCCTCATCCTTCAAAAAGATATCTGAAGGAAAGGTAGTGACTTCAGGCTTGACTGGGTTAACTTCTTTGCTGTTCAGAACTTATTAAATTTTGATTGTCAAGTGTATGGCAGATAGGGATTTGGGTTAAATAATAGTCCAGGAAGAGTTCCAAAGAAGTTTGATGTAGCTACCATTTTCAACACTGATGTCAAAAAATAAATATTGGTGGGCTTATTTCCTTTGCTCCACTATATCTTAATCTAGAGTGTGGGAGATGTGCATTGAGCTTGGACTCAATAAAATAATCCTGGTTATGATATTTTAGCAACTTTTTCCTTTGTATTATGTAAAATTGTTTCATGTGATTTAATCTACATAACCATTGTCACTGTTCATAGGTTTTTCTGTTTTGATTCTTATATATTTGCCCAGCCAATAATTGTTATAATCAAGAGTTGTCAGGATGTTTTATATTTTATACTCCTACAGAGAGGAGAAAAAATAGACTTTTTGACCTTATTTACCCAAAATTTATAGCTTAATTAGAAATTTGTTTTTGGGAAGTGTGGGAATTGAATATTCTTCCTTTAAAATAATATTTATATAATTTTCTAACTTCACACAGATTTTTTAAAAAGACTTTTCCTCATATTTTAAAAATCATGAAATAGGAAGATATTGGCACTTAATCACAAGATCTTACATTTTCTCATAGTGTTTTCTAAAGCATTAGATTTTTTTTCTAGTTTTCGGACACAATGCTGTGTTATTTTTAAATGTAAAATTGTGATGAAGTTAATACTTTAGAATATCAAACTTGCAAATCTTCAAGCTTTTAAACTCATGTAATCTTACATGGGGCATAATATTTTACTGCCTGTATTTTTAGTAAGCTGGAGATAAATATACATCTTAAGAAGGTCTAGACGTAAAACTAGGTGTTTATTTACTTAGAGACATGGAGAGTGTCTTGATTTCTGTAAGATACGATTAAAGAGGAGAGGAGGTGGTAAAAACCATTTTACTTCATTGTACATCTAATCATAAAAATAATATGCTTGCTTACTTACATCATACTTACCTATCAAACATTTTAGGGGTCTCTGATTTTAAAGATATATTAAAAGCTAGCTTTGGTTGAATATATTGTCAGAATATCCTGTTGCAATTGGTTGTTTAAGGTGTTAAATTTTTGGTAGGAACATGACTACAAACTTACTCTAGTATAAAATACAGCTAGAACGTCAGCATATCAAGTGAGGTATATCACAATACCTTAGGGGAAATATGAGGTCTTGTCACACTAAAATCAAATTTGGAAGACTAGAGAAACTTTACTGCTATGTGGGTATATATGTATGTGTTAAATCATTTTACCTCACATGCTTAGAATAAAAGCTTGATTTAAAAGTAATTAATAAGGTAGATTCATCGTATTCCCCATGACCAACCTTCAAAATGACCAACCTTTACTAGAGCCAAACCTAATTTGAGTCTAGTCAATTTACATAATAGAGAGAAAAAACAAAATTGCATTTTTGTAAGAGAAGTCCTGGTGGGATATTAATTTGGATGATAAAAGTCATTGAAATGTCCCTATTTTGTGTTGTTTTAAGTAATGTTGAAATTCCTAAACATTAGAATTTTAATGTACATGAGATTTTTTAAATTTGAGTGGCGTTTTCTGAATTATCAGAAACAGTAGCTTGTATCATTCTAACAGAAAACTACCTCCTTAGCATAGTCGTTTACTGCTACAGTAATCATCTGTTATAAAGCAACAATATATTTTCAGTGATTTGTTCCAATAAGAAAATAATAACCAGAGTGGTAAAGGTAGTTCTCACTGAGTACCTTTCTGGGCCAGACACCTGAGCTAGGTATCCTTGATCTGTTAATATCCCACTGTGACTAACATTCACAAAGTATCTTTAAGTCTCTAAGTATTCCTTTACATAAAGCCTCGAAGCTTCGTATAAATTCCTAATTTGAGCAGACATGAACGTAGACCCAGGAAAGTTTAGATAAATTTAAGTCCTTCCTGTAAGAAATGGGTTAAGGAAAGAAAGGCAACTACCTTTCGATAGTACCCACTTAAGACTAGACACTGGAGTCTGTTATGTGCTTATATACCATCTTAAATATACACAGGATGGTGCTTTGGCAGTTAAATGTTTATTTTTGCATGTAAGGGAAAGTAGGGAAGTAAGTAGGAAAGTGTAATTTAAATGTTCAGAATGGATTAAAAAGTCCGTGGTGGATATATGTTTTATATGTAGCACAAACTGTACAATTAAACATTTAGCCTAATCTTGTCCCAAAGAAAACCTTTTTGCTCTGATCTTTTATGGCTGTTAATCTTCATATATATATATTTCAGTTTATGTTAGTCTTTTAGTTTGAAGAACATTTGAAGTTGTCCTATGTATGGCTTTAAATGGTATAATGAAGGAACTTATCCAAATGTGAAATTAAACATATGTACATATTCTATAACTAATTCATGTAAACATAAAAATATATAAATGTACTAGTTTTTTTATTTTTATTTTTTATCAATTTGGGCTCTACTTAGAGTCATACAGTGGCCAAATGTTGCATTGTATACTGTGTGACATGTATGTTACCAAATTTTAAATTCTTTGAGAGCATAACATTTATGCTACTAATGAAGCAAAAAATATACACTATCAAAGGAACATTTCATACTAAGATTTTCTGTAAAACATTTGCCACTACAAAACTTTTGGAGGGAAAGTTCTTTATTAGTGTTCTCATGTTTCTTTCACAGTGTTGTGCCCCCCACCCCTGCAAAACTCCAAAGCATTCTAATTACATTGTCTTCAATTGTCCATTGTCCAACAATGCTTAGTAGTTTCTTTTTTTTTTCTTTTTTGGGGGGATAATTTGTATTCCATTTATTACAACAGCATGTGTATACATTTGAAGACTATTCAGACATGTATGGGTGCTTGGTGCCCTGGTGGACTCTGGCAGGCCCCCTAGCTGGGTGCCTCAGACCTGGGGACCAGTGTGGTCTCCAACAAGTGAAGTCTTAATATAATCCTGGCTCTTCTCAGGCATGAGCTCCCTCAACACTCCTTGCCAGGCATGTAGTATAAGCCCATTTTGCACATCAGAACACAAAGGCATCAATAGGTGCTTTCACTGCCCAAGACAGGGAGCTAGTGATTAGAGAACATGACTTAGATCTGTGTGACCTCAAAGCCCATAGTTTTTTGTTTGTTTTTTACTTTTTTATTGAATTTGTTGAGGTGACATTGGTTAATAAAATTATATAGGTTTCAGGTGTACAATTCTGTAGTACATCATCTGTATATTATATTGTATGTTCACCACCCCAAGTAAAGTCTCCTTCCATCACCATTTATTCCCCCTTTATTTTCTTCTATCTCTCCCCACCCCCAAGTAGTTCCTTTTTAAATTAAACTCTAAGTACATTACATATTTTTACTTTTAAGTGAACTTATGTCTGCAACATTAATTACAAGTAATAATACTTTACAGATGTTTTGAAAACAAAATAGTAGTTGAACGTCCTATTTTTTTTAGTGTAGTTCTAGTTTCCTAAAACTTGATTTTAAATTGATTTTTTTATGAATCTATTTGAGTTATATGTTCATGATCATATTATCCTAATTCAGATTTTAAAAGAACATTTTCTGGTGATATTGACAATGTATTTCGTGATTGTGAGTTTTTTGTTTGAAATGACAAATATAATGTTTATTTTAAATTCTAAATATCTTTAGAGCATGTCTAGACCTTGTGTATATTACTCATAATGAAAAAAGAATCAGTTTTAATTACCATTTTTTTCCTCCAAGGCTTATTAAATTCGAGGATAAATATTAAAGTGAAATTTCTGTTATAATAACCATTCTTTTCTTTGTTGTACTTCTGTAGTAGTTAAGTTACTGTGTACACTTAGGTCTTGGCTATTGAGTTAATTTATTAGCAAGTGCTAAATACAAGGTTATTGAAATGCTTAACCACAGTCATGTCGAATGCTGCATGTCCTATCACAGGAGAATGGAGGATAGTACAGTATACTGCGAAAGTAATTGTAATGTGTAGTGTGTAATTACATGTAGTATGTAATTATTTCATAATAGCACCTTAAGCAAAGTATTGCAAAGGTGATTAAAATGTTGTTTTCAACAGCAGTTTTAAAGTTATGGGAAACCTGTCCTTGCTCAAGCCTAACTTTTATGCTAAAAGTAATGTGGAAATGTAGATTAATTTTCTTCTTGGTTTTGTTTCCAGGTGGAGGTTTGGCTGTTGGAACAGTTCTTCTAATCGGTTCGTATAGCACATATATTTGCTCTTCCCAACCAGTTTTCTGCTGTGCGTAATGATTTTATGGGTTTTCCAATTCTGAAATGAAGTCTTTAACTCTCTGCAGGAGTTAAGGTAAATTGGAGAGGAATTGCCTTAAGTTATGATTTAAAGTCAAACCTTGATCTGAACTTGAAATGCATTAGGCAAGTGTATCTGATAATGTAGCTCTTTTAACTTAGAAATGTTCACGGCGCATTGTGCTCCATTTTTAAAGAGAGGACTAAAGTGCATGCCAGTTCGTGTTCCTGGAGAATCTCGTATTTAGAGTGGGATTGGCAGAGCGATTAATTTGAGAAGCTGATGTGCAAATAAGTTCATTGTACATATCTCAGATTTTTTCCTTATTATTGAAAGGTAACAAACTGATGCATCATATTTTTATTTATCTTTGAAGGTATAATGGTTTTTATTTAAATATACATTCATAATACTACTTGCTGTATTTTTTAGTTTAGAGAAGCTTGGGATTGACATAATGTTGGCAGTTACATAATCAAAGCTCCCATCTAGCCACCAATCACTTGTCCATAATCCTTGACAGATATTAAATGCCATTTGAGTACAGATTACCTAGTTTAAGGGACTCATTATTTCACAAAGCAATGTTTGTTGTTGAAAATACTATGATTTATTAGAAAGTTCCTTTTATTAGTGTTTAGTCCATTTACGTATAACAGATTTTTTTTTTAATATATCTTTATTGATTTCAGATAGAGGAAAGGAGAGGGAGAGAGAGAGATAGAAACATCAATGATGAGAGAGTCATTGATCGGCTGCCTTCTGCACGGCCCTGACTGGGGATCGAGCCCGCAACCTGGGCATGTGCCCTGACAGGGAATCGAACCATGATCACTTGGATCCTAGGTCCATGCTCAACCGCTGAGCCACGCCCGGCCAGGCATGTAACAGATTTCTTTGTTCCCAGTTTTGCCCTCTGACATAATACAAAATTAATCTACCTACTCTTTCACATGATGCTCTTAAAATATTTGAAAAGAACCGTTTTATCACGTCAAATCTTCTCCAAACTAAATAGACATAGTTTCTTAAACTGGTTTTTATGTATCTTGGTTTTCACCCTGGTTTTTCCTCACGTCCTACCTAGTCTGGCATTGTCTCTTCAGCTGACCCCAGAACTGAATACAGTGTTCCACATTCAGAATGACCTATGCTAGAATTCTAGGAATGGTGATATCTGTCGCATTTTTTAAAATTTATCTATTAGTAAATGGAGAAGTATTTAAGGACTTTATGGAAAAAATAATTTACAGTTTTTATATAAATAAGTAAATATATAAAGTACAAAAGGATATATGGAAAAAAATAAGTTGTCTTTTTAGTTCCTCAGTCCCCATACCCAGAGACAATACTGCTCTGGTAGCCCATCCAAATATTTCTACATAAGAAAGATACTTGAAAGCATTCAGCACCTTTGCTTTTTCCACTTAATACATCATAGAGAAAAGTCTGTGTGCATTCATATAGGCATATTTTATTATTCTTAATGGTGGCATAGGATTTCATTGTATGGATATTACTAATATTGTACAAGTCTTGTATATACATGTGTAAACATACAGATGATTAGAAAGCCAGTGTTCACTTTGAGAGGGGTCTCAGTGGAATGATAGGAGCAGCTCATTTGGACTTGGATGTAAGGAAAAAGTGGTGCTCCTGTTCTTTCAATCCTCTAGGCTTCATTCTACCCTGGGGGGCCTAATGAACAGGTGTCATTCCATTTCCATATGGTCAGCCTATCAATATTTGAGGACAGCTCCCTTGCATCCCTTAGGTCTCTTTTTCTTCAAGCTAAATATCTCATTTCTCATGCTTTCAAGTCCTGGGCCTTCCTGGTCACCATTCTGAAGATACTTTAGTTTGTGTAAATACACAAACGAAGTATATTATTGTCAGCCTGTTCGACTGCTGGAATAGATGAAGACGATCATCTCTTTCAGCCTAGGAATTAGACTATTCTTTCCGGCCAGAACTACATTTGTGTTTTGGCAGTTCTGTGGCGTCATTATCATTTTTGCTTGCCCAGTGTTATGGGGATTCACTAAATAGATTAATTAAATGCTTATTATACAACTTCAAAATTTGTTTCACAAAATTGGTAATTTTCAGCTTGAAGAGCATAGTTTTTTTGCTAATCCCTAAATAGGTGATGTTCCTCCTCTTAGTTTTTTGTGCTTCGTAGGAGTCTTTGGAAAAATAGAGTTGATAACTATTATAGAGTATGTGTGTGTGCATGTGCGTGTGTGTGTTATGATAGGGTGTGCTTTCAGCAAACTACAGTAGATCTGGCTGATTTACAAGACAAGGATGGATTCTTTTTTCCTTAATTAATTCTACAAATATTTACTAGATGTATACTGTGTGCCCAATACTGGGGTTATACCAATAAGAAGCATTCTCTGCCATGAGGATCTTGTAGCTTGGTGGTGAAATTTCAGTAATGTGTAAATTTAGTAACTCTATCAAATTATAATCTTTAATTTTGAGTTATTATTGAATTTCAAACCCAAAACCAAACTGTAGGAATAATACTCTTTACAAATATTATAAATAGTAATCATCAGGCTACATACACTAAGTACTTAATTATTGTGACATGAAAGAAATGAGGTGTGAGACTGCCAAATGGTTGGTAGGTAATAATGGCCACGTTAGAGGTGCAGGGCCTGAGAAAAAGAATTTCTGATGTCTGAAATAATCAGACCTAACCCTGTAAGCTTCCCGGCTGGTGGAGGCGGTGTGGTAGGTGGAGGTGACGCTGAGAGGCGGGAAGCTCTGGTAAAGTGCCTCCTTCCGCTGGTGTCAGGAGCAGCCTCTCGGCCAGTCTCGCTGTTCCTTAGGGAAACGCCGCTGTTGCCCCACCTGAGATACTTGTTTTAAAGAGAGAGGTTACAGAAACCCGAGTGTGCGTGGCACTTGTAGGAGTCTGACCATGATTTTTTGTCTTTTTTACAGAAGAGGATAAGTATGATATTTACTCGCCTTTGCTCTTCAAGTACTTCCTGGCAGAGGGAGCCATCAGTGGGCACACTTTGCTGGTCGCGTCTGCAAAAGAAGAGCCTGCTGACATTTTACAGGTACAGGATAGAGTGTATTCTATATGTTCAATATTGCATTTTGAACATTTTATGAAAAAATCTTGTTTATATGTATAAACAAGATAAAAACTGTGTTTAAATGCACTAATGGGACCATACATGCATTTTTTTTCTCTTAAAGAAAAGGATCACATTTATTTAAGCATATAATTTCTTTTTTAAGAAAGAATAGTTTATTGATCCCGAGAAAGGGAGAAACATTGATGTGAGAGCAAAGCATCAGTTGGCTGCCTGCTGCATGCCCCCTGCCAGAGATCAAGTCCCC